ATTAAAACAAAAATGAAAATTAAGACCACTTCCACGCACTGACACAACAAAGAGGCAAACACCAGCCACAAGCCCCAGGGTCACCTCCCAGGGGCCCCCAGGGGCCCCCCAGGGGCCCCCAGGGGCCCCCATGGGGCCCCCCAGAGGCCCCCAGGGGCCCCCCGAGGGGCCCCCAGGGGCCCCCCGAGGGCCCCGGGGGGCCCCCAAGAGGGCCCTCAGAGCCTTTAGGGGGCCCCCAGGAGTCAGCAGCGGGGCCCTTTGCTGGTTAAGGGGGCCCCCTGTTTGTTTTGTGAAGACAGAAAGGAGAAATAAAAAGAAGAAATAAAAAAGAAATAAAAAAGAAATAAAAGTAGTAAAAGAAATGAAATAAAAGAAGGGAAAAGAAGGCTTCTCGGGTGTATGTACACCTTATTTCGAGGCTGCTTGCAGTTCTTTAAAGTGTGCTCTTTGCTTCCGCAGTTAAAACAGATGCCAGAGGAAGCTGCTGCGTCACCGTCTGCTGCTGCTGCTGCTGCTGCTGCTGCTGCTGCTGCTGCTTCGCGGCACTCGTGCAGCAGGTGACCCTTCTTCCTGCCTGAAAGCAGCAGCAAGCAGCAAAAAGGAAGCAAAACATTAATCAGAGGCTAAGTCCAAAAGAAATTCAAAGAAAGCTATGCTTGCTGCTGTGCTGCTGCTGCTGCCTCTGCTGCTGCCTCTGCTGCTGTTGCCGCCGCTGCTGCTGCAACAGCTGCTGCTGCTCAGGCTTGCTGCTGCTGCTACAGCTGCCGCTGCTGCTGCTGTTCTTGCTGCTGCTGTTCCTGCTGCTGCTGTTGCTGCCGCTGCTTGCTGCTGTTGTTGCTGCCGCTGCTTGCTGCTGCTGCTGCTGCTGCTGCTGCTGCTGCTGCTGCAGCGGGGAGGGTTCGTGCTGCACTTACACCTGAGGCAGACCTTTTTGCTTTTCTTTTTGGCCCTGTGTTCCTCTTGGTTATTATTATCTCTTTTTCTTTTTTTATTAATGCGGGAATTGTCCATTTTATTGTTTTTTTTGCTGCTTTCCGCGTCTGCTGCCGGCTGCTGCTGCTGCTGCTGCTGCTGCTGCTGCTGCTGCTGCTGCTTCCTTTTCTTCTTCGCCTTCGCCAGCTGCCCCCCCACCGTGGCTTCTCCTCTTTCTGCTTTTGCCAACTCCGAAAGTCTGGATTTAATTCTTTTAATTCGAGAAATTGATAAATTGTTTTCTTTTTTATTCTTTTCCAACTCCTGCAGCAGCTCCGCCTTCCGCGCAGCAATTTGCTCAGCCCCCCAGCAGCCCTGCAGCCGCCGCTTCCCCCTTGGCTTCCCCCCAGCAGCAGCAGCAGCAGCAGCAGCAGCAGCAGCAGCAGCAGGGGGGGCTGCTGCGCCGTTTGCTGCAGCAGCAGCAGCACTTTCCCGGGGGGGGGCCCCCTGCTGGGGCCCCGTCTTGGGCTTTCCCCCGGGGCCCTCAGGGGGGCCCCCAATGCTTGCTGCTTCTGGGGGGCCCCCCGACTCTGGGGTTTTTTGTTTTTCTTTTTTATTCTTTTTCTTCTTTGCCTCCGGCGGCTGCGCAGCAGCGCTTGGGGCAGCAGCAGCAGCAGCAGCTGCTGCTGCTGCTGCAGCAGCAGCTGGTTGCTGGGCGGAGAGGGCCTTCTTCTGCTTCTTCTCGGCCTTCGCAGGGGCCACCTCCGAGGCCGCCCCACTAGTTGCTGCTGCTGCTGCTGCTGCTGCTGCTGCTGCTGCAGCAGGGCTGCGGGCCTTGGGCGCCATTGCAGAGGGGGCCCCACAGAGCCAACAGGGCCCAGCGCTCACGGAGAAAGGGCCCCTGTTTTTGAAAAGAAATTAATTCAGAAAGATCTTAGAAGCACTGCTGCTGCTGCTGCTGTTGTTGCTGCTGCTGCTGTTGCTGCTGCTGCTGTTGCTGCTGCTATTGCCTTCGTTGCTGTGGGGCCCCGGAGGGGTCACTCACTGCAGCGGCAAACGCGGGAGAAAATAATTGAAAATAATTACAAAACAAATTAAAACAGTCCAAATAATTTTAATTCCTCAAGGGAAGGAGAAGGGGGCCCCCAGGTAGGGGCCCCCCAAGCCCCTACATATGTGGGGCCCCCCGACCCGGGGGATGGCAGCGGGGGCCCCACCACTTGGGGCCCTCCTCTGGGCCTCTTCTTTTATTTTTAAAATTAAAAATATCAAAAAAGAAGTAAATGGCAACGAGGCGCCTCATCTGGGGAAAAAGGAAGCCAGAAAGGGGCCCAGGGGCCACCCCGGGGGCACCCAGCAACTCAAGGGGCCCCCAGCAGCAAGGGGCCCCCAGCAAATCAAGGGGCCCCCAGGGCTCCAAGGGAAACGAGGGGCCCTTAGGGGCTTTTCTCAGGGTACTGGGGCCCCCCAGGGTCTCTAAAGGGCCCAAAGGTATGGCGGCAGCAGCTCAAAAGGTAAGAAATGCAGGCTTTAGGAGCCTCAGGGGGCCCCTTTTAGGGGGCCCCCCAAGGGGCACCCTTTAAGGGGCTGCCCTCCTAATAGGCCCTTCTGAGGGGCCCTTTAAGAGCCCCTTTGTTCCACTCCAGGGGCCCCTAGGACCCCATGGGGGCCCCCAGAGTGTAGTGTTGTTTTGGGGCCCATAAGGGGCCCTAAAGGCCCTTTTGGAGTTACCAAGAAAGTCAAAAGGGCTTCTAGGATATGAACCTTTTTAATAAGCCTTTGGGGCCCCGGACCCTTCTGGGGGCCCCCTTGGGGGCCCTCTAATTCCCCCTCTGGGGGCCCCTCTAGGGGCCCCTACGGGCCCTTCTCTTAGGTCCTTTCTGGGGCTTCCTATGAAGGCCCTTATGGGGGCCCCTATGGGGCCCTCTCTAAGGCCCTCTATGGGGGCCCCCCTGGGGAACCTTCTGGGGGCCCCTCTGGGGTCCCCTTTTGGGGGCCCCCTAGGGGGCCCCCATGGGGGCCCCCTGGGGGGCCCCCTGGGGGGCCCTCTGGGGGCCCCTCTAAGGGTAGCAGTTGGAGGGCCACGTCTGTGTCTTGAATGGAGGCCCTTGGCACTTCTTTATTATTTTCTGAAAAGGCAAAATTATAAAAGGAAAAAAGAAACAAAAAGATATAATTGAGGGAAAAAGAAATAAAAAGATATAATTGAAGCTAGAGAGAGTGGAAATTAAACAAATTAAAAGGATTTATTTCAATTAAAAACAAAGAAAAAGAAAAACAAAAATAAAAAAAAGCAAATCCGCCGGCCACCAAGAGACCCCAAACCCTGGCAGCACAGCCGCGTTTGCTGCAGCCACCTAAACCCTAAACCCTAGCCCGTAAACCCTAAACCCTAGCCTGTAAGCCCTAAACCCTAGCGCGTAAACCCTAAACCATAGCCCGGAAACCCTGGACCCTAGCCCGTAAACCCTAAGCCCTAGCCCGTAAACCCTAAACCCTAAGCCCTAAGCCCCAGCCCAAAAACCCTAAACCCTAGCCCGTAGCTCCGAAGCCCTAGCCTGTAAAAACTCAAAACCCTCGACTGCAAACCCTAAACCCTAAACGCTCGCCTGTAAAGCCTAGACCCTAAACCCTAGCCCGTGACGCCTAGACCCTAAACCCTAGTCCGTAAAGCATAAAGACCACACCCCAAGCCCTGGCCCGTAAACCCTAAACCCTAGCCCAAAAACCCTAAATCCTAAACCCTTGCCCGTAACCCTAAACCCTAAACCCTAGCCCGTAACCCTAAACTCTAAACCCTAGCCCGTAAACCCTAAACCCTAGCCCGTAAACCCTAGCCCGTAAACCCTAAACCCTAGCCCGTAAACCCTAAACCCTAGCAGGCTCACCGTCTAAGAGGCCTTCGACCAAAAACAAAAAGACAAAACCCTCCAACTTTAAGGGAATGAGGGCCCCCACAGTAAGAGAAGAAAAAAAACGAAGTTCCTTTTCTAGGGCCCTCTGTGCAAAAGCAGCAAAAGACAATAATTTATTATTTTCATTAAATCATTTATTATTGTCATTAAATAATTTATTATTATTAAATAATTCGGTATTATCATTAATTGATTTATTATCATTAAATGATTTATTATTTTCATTAAATAATTTATTATTATCGTCAAATAATTCATTATCATTAAATATTTTATTATTATCATTAAGCAATTCATCATTATCATTAAATGCAACAAAACAATCCTCATTTGCTACTCAGAGTTGCAAATAAATCACAAAACAGCAAAAATGACAATAAGCCACGGGCGGGGGCCCCCAGGGGCCCCTGGGGGCCCCATCTAGGGGCCCAAGGGGGCCCCTGGGGGCCCCATCTAAGGGCCCCAGGGGGCCCCTGGGGGCCCCATCTACGGGCCCCATCTAGGGGCCCCAGGGGGCCCCTGGGGGCCCCAGCTAGGGGCCCCAGGGGAACAGAAAAGGAATCAAAACGACAAAAAGGGACAAAAGGAAACAATAGAGACAAACAAATGCAAAAAGCAAGTATGAGCACTGCAGCAGCAGCTCCGGAGTGACCCCAGGGGGCCCCTAGCAAATGGGGCCCCCAGAGGGCCCCTGGGGGCCCCCCAGAGTCCCTAGATGGGGGCCCCCGGGGGCCCCCTACTCTGTGCCCTGAGAGGGGCCCCCTAGGACTCTGGAGGGGGCCCCTGGGTCTGTGGAGAGGGCCCTTTGCGCCTCCAAAGGGGGCCCCCTGCTGCTGCTGGAGGGGCCCCCTGCAGCTGCTGGAGGGGCCCGCTGCTGCTGCAGGGGCCCCCAGCAGCAGCAGCAGCAGCAGCAAACTAAATGCTTATCACCTGGAGGCCCCCCGCCTTCTCAGCAGCAGCAAAAAAGCTCTTGTCTTTTGGCCTCAGACGCACAGAGCTGCAAACTGGCAAACTCTCGAGGCGGCAAAACACTGGAGAGCCGCTCCTGCAGCAGCAGCAGCAGCAGCAGCAGCAGCAGCAGCAGCAGCAACGGAAGGAGCAGCAGCAGCAGTAACGGAGAGAGCAACAGAAGCGGGAAGGCACAGGACTAGCTGTAGGGGAGCAGCAGCAGAAACAAGAGCGGGAGCAGCAGCAACAGCAGCAACAGAAAGATCAGCAGCAGCAGCAGCAGCAGCAGCAGGAGGCTTGCCAGCCAGTCAGCAGCAGGGGCTGCTGCTGCTGCTGCTGCTGTTTGTTTGTCTGCTGCAGCGGCGCAGCCTGGCCGAGTTAAGCCGAATAAAAGCAGCAGCTCAACCCATGAAATTAATTATTTAATTAAATTAAATTAAATAAATAAATAAATAAATAAATAAATAAATAATTGTTTATTTATTTATTTATTTTAAACTTAATGAACACTCACTGCAGCCCCAGAGCCTCCATCACCCAAGGCGGCAAAAAGATACAACCCTCGGGGGCCCCAAAGTCAAGTGCACCCACTGACACCTTTTTAAGGGCCAGAGGGGCCCCCCGAGGGGCCCCCGGGGGGCCCCCCTGAGGGGCCCCCGGGGGGCCCCCCTGAGGGGCTCCTGCTGGAGGGCTTCCCTGGGGGCCCCCCTGAGGGGCCCCTGCTGGGGGGGCCCCCTGGGGGCCCCCCTGGGGGGCCCCCAAGGGCCCCCTGGAGTTGGGGGGCCCCCCAAGCTGGACTGTCTCTAAACTGAAATGCCAGGGGGGCTCCGCTCCGCTCGCAATTAGCTGTTGGAAGAAAACACAAATAAATAAATGGATAGATAAATAAATAAATAAATAAATAAATAAATAAATAAACAAACAAGTTAATTTATTAACTGGTTGATAGTATTAATTAATTAATTAATTTGAAATGGGCTTTTAAGAGGTATTGCCTTTAAATAAAGAAAGAAAGGCAAAATAGACAAATAAAACAAAAAGACAAAAAAAAGAAAATAAAAATAAAAATTGGAAAGAGGTCAAACAATAAATAAATAAAAAGAAACAAAAAGTGACAAAAAAGGAAATCAATAAAAACGAATTCAAAGAGATAATAAAAAGAATTAAATATTTGATTTCAAATAAAAGAGAAAATGAAAAGAAATAAAATTCAAGATAAAATGAAAAGAGGCAAAAAAGCCGCGAGAAATAAACGAAAAAATAAAAGTGAAAATAAAAAAGAAATAAGCGGAAGAAGAAAAGAATTAAATCTAATAAAGATAAATGATAGAAATAAAAAAAAAGATAAAAAGAAATGAAAAGGGATAAACAACAGAAGATTAATAAGAAATGAAAAAAATAGAAAAATAAAAATAAACTAACAAAATAAGAAAGATTGAAAAAAGGGGAAAAGAAATGAAAAAGATAAAAAAGGAAAAGAGAAAATAATTAAAAAGATAAAAAGCAAAAATAAAAAAGAGAATAAAATCAAGTCTGCCTCTAAAGGACAAAAGAACAAAAGAAAAAAGAAAAAAGAAAAAAAGAAAAAAGAAAAAAGAAAAATAAAATGAAATAAGCAAAATTGGCTAAATAAAACAAACAAACAAAACAAAAACAAAATAATTAAAATAGAACAAAATAACTACAAGAAATAAAATAAAACCACACAAATAGACAAATAAATATATAATAAATAAATAAACAAATAAAATAAACAAAGAAATGAATAAATAATAAAACAAATAATGAATAAATAAAAAAATACATAAATAAATAATAAAACAAACTAAGTAAACAGATAAATAAATGAATAAATAAATAAGAAAACAAATTAAATAAACAAATAAGCAAATAAATGAATAATAAAACAAATTAAATGAATAAAGAAGTAAATAAATAATTAAACAACCCGAATATAAAATAAGTAAATAAATGAAATAAAAAATAGATAAACAAATAAACTAATAATAAAACAAAATAAATAAATGTATAGAAAAATAAACAATTAGATAAATAAATAAATGAACAATAAAACAAATTAAGAAAACAAATAAATAAATAAATAAATAAATAAATAAATAAATAAATGCATAAATAATAAAACTAAATAAATAAATAAATAAATAAATAAATAAATAAATAAATAAATAAATAAATAAATAATAAAACTAAATAAATAAATAAATAAACAAATAAATAAACAAATAAATAAATAAATAAATAAATAAATGAATAAATAATAAAACAAAAGTGCAGAATTTGTCTTCTCGCCTTTTGAAAAAAAGAAGCTGGAAGAGAAGACCCGTCGCCAAACGCCGTCCGCCCGTTCGCCGGGTGAGCTGCAGCAGCAGCAGCAGCAGCAGCAGCAGCAGTAGCAGCAGGAGCAGCAGCAGTAGCAGCAGGAGCAGCAGCAGGAGCAGCAGCAGGAGCAGCAGTAGTAGCAGCAGCAGTAGCAGTAGTAGTAGCAGCGGAAGGAGCAGCAGCAGTGGCTGCAGCAGCAGCAGCAGCAGCACTAGCAGCAGCAGTATTAGCAGCAGCAGCAGCAGCAGCAGCAGCAGCAGCAGCACTAGCAGCAGCAGTATTAGCAGCAGCAGCAGCAGCAGCAGCAGACGAGCTGCAGTGTATGTACACCTGAGTTGATGAAATAATCCACTATAGGCCGCGCTACTAAAATACGGCCTTCCTTTCCCTGCTGCTCCAGCAGCAGATTCAGATCCGCTATCTGCTGCTGCTGCTGCGCACGCAAATCGCAGCAGCAGCAGCAGCAGCAGCAGCAGCAGCAGCAGCAGCAGCAGCAGCAGCAGCAACAGCAACTGAGTCCCCGTACACACGCGCCTGCAAAGCAGGCGCCCTGCCCACTCCGCCGCAGCAAAAGAGCCCTTTGAAATCGCAGCAGCAGCAGCAGCGATGGCTGCAGCAGCAGCAGCAGCAGCAACAGCAGCAGCAGCAGCAGCGCAGCAGCAGCAGCAGCAGCACAGCAGCAGCAGCAGCAGCACCTACCTTGGCGGCCCTTGCTGCTGCTTTCAGCTTATCCAAGAAGCAGAAGCAGCTAAGCCGAGAACCTTTGGGGGGGCCCCCAAGGGAGGGGCCCCCATATGGGGGCCCCCCGTTGCTTCTGTGGAGAGGCAGGGGGGGCCCCAGAGGGGCCCCCCCTGAGGCCCCTCGGGGGCCCCTTATGCACAGTTGAACCCCGTAGCTGCCTGCTGCCTTTGTCAGCAGCAGCAGCAGCAAAAACTGCTGCAGCAGACGCGGGAAACGCTGCAGCAGCAGCAGCCGCTGCTGCTGCTGCTGCTGCTGCTGCATGGCTATGGGCTGGGGGGCCCCGGGGCCCTCTGCATCGAAGCAAAGAACTCCGCAGTGCTCCCCAGTGCCCTTTTGTCCGTTAAATACTTTTTATTTTTATTTTTTAATTTTATTATCATTTTAAAATTGAAAATAAAGAAAGGATTCAAAGACAAAGGCCCCAGGCAAGCAGCGCCGACCGCAAGACCCGGCGGGGGCCCCAGCAGCCGACACTCCTGTGGGGCCCCCCAGAGGATTCCATGGAAAGAAATTCTTTTTTCTCAAAAAATTCTAAAAAGTATTTAATTTAAACTTCGAAGTTTTATTTGGCAAGCAGAGAACGGCAACTGCAGCAGATGTGCAGCAGCCGACCTGCTGCAGCACGGCACCTGCAGCAGCAGCCGATCTGCTGCAGCACGGCATCTGCAGCAGCCGATCTGCTGCAGCATGAGAGCTGCAGCAGCCGATCTGCTGCAGCATGAGAGCTGCAGCAGCCGATATGCTGCAGCATGAGAGCTGCAGCAGCAGAGCTCCTAGACCAGACGCGCAGCAGCACATCTGCAGCAGCAGATCTGCTGCAGCAGCAAACTGAAAAGCTTAGAGCCGCGCACTTGTTGAAGTTCCTGCTGCTTTGGTGCTTCTCTTTGCTTCTCAAAGAAAGTCACTTACAGTAGAAGTTGCTGCTGCTGCTGCAGCAGCAGCAGCCCAAGCTTCCCAGCCGCCGCAAGAAGTTGCTGCTGTCAAAGCTGCTGCTGCAGCAGGCACAGCAGCAGCAGCAGCAGCAAATCCGGCAGCGGCGTCCTCCCAGCCGCCTTTGCTGCCTCCTCCCAGGGGCAGCGGGGGCCCCGCAGGCTGCTGCCTAGCCAGTTACTTAGCTAGCTAGCTAGCTAGCTAGCCAGCTAGCTAGCTAGCTAGCTAGCTAGCTAATTAGTTAGCTAGCCACCTAGCTAGCTAGTTGCCTTGATAGCTAGCTAACTGCCTAGGTAGCTAGCGGCCTCGCTGGCTAGCTGTCTAGCTAGCTAGGCACCTATCCAACTAGCTGCCTAGCTAGCTAGCTAGCCAGCTAGCTAGCCAGCTAGCTAGCTACCAAGCTAGCTAGCTAGCTAAAAAATTGACTAAAGCTACTCTGGTTGCGTCTGCAGGCGAAGTCCGCAGCCAAAGGCCAGCAGCAAAACAGGGGGCCCTCGGGGCGCAGCAGCAGCTTTCAACGCTGCTCTTGTTGCTGCTGCTGCTGCAGCAAGCAGCAGCAGCTGCTGCTGCTGCTGCTGCTGGTTAGGCCTCACTCGCTCTGTGGGGCCTCTCGAACTTTCCATCCTCGGCAAATTGCAGAGAGGCATCTGCAGCACACAAAACACACAGCTAGCTAGCTGGCTAGCTAGCTAGCTGGCTAGCTAGCTGCTGATATTCTCTAGCTAGGTAGCTAGCTGGCTGCTGGCTAGCTGGATGCCAGCTAGCTGGATAAACGGCGAGCTGCCTAGCCATCTGCTCATCTGACCACCTGCGTATGCAGCTAGCTAGCTAGCTAGCTAGCTAGCTGGCTAGCTGGCTAGCTGGCTAGCTGGCTAGCTGGCTAGCTAGCTAGCTGGCTAGCTAGCTAGCTGGCTAGCTAGCTAGCTGGCTAGCTAGCTAGCTAGCTGGCCAGCTGCTTTGTCAGCTAGCTAGCTGGCAGACTAACCTCCAGCCCTCCTGGGGCAGAGCCACTGTGCTGCTGCGGAAGCAGCGCGGCTGCTGCAGCAGCAGCTCCTGCAGCAAATTAGCAGCAGCACACACACTTGCGGGGCCCTCTAGCAGCAGCAGCAGCTATTGCCAGCAGCAGCAGCAGCAGCAGCAGCAGCAGCAGCAAAGGATGGCGCACCCTTCTTGCTGCCACTCTGTGGCTCCAGACAAAAGGCCCCACATGCCTCGGGGCGCTGTCCCTGGGCTCGTCCTGCTGCTGCTGCTGCTGCTGCTGCTGCTGCTGCTGCTGTTCGATGCTCTCGTCGTCGACCAAATCGATCAAATCATCTTGCTGCTCTTCCTCCACCTGCTGCTGCTGCTGCTGCTGCTGCTGCTGCTGCTGCTGCTGCGGGGGAAGCGGAAGCGCCACGTGCGGCTGCAGCACCGCGCAGCGAAAGAAAGAAGCAGCAGCAGCACCAATGCCTGGCAGCTGCTGCAGCCACAAGTCGCTGCTGCCTCCACACGCCCCGCTGCTGCTGCTGCTGCTGCTGCTGCTGCTGCTGCAGCTGCAGCTGAGGAGCTCTAGGCCAATCCGCAGCAGCAGCAAACAGTCAAATGAAAGCGACAGCTCGTCGCTGCTGCAGATGTCTCCCAACTTCGAGAAAAGAGACACTGCAGCATCAAAAGAATCCGCAGCAGCAGCAGCAGCAGCAGCAGCAGGTTGCGTTGCTGCAGCTGCTAGTGCTGCCGCTGCTGGCTTTGCTGCTGCTGCTGCTGCCACAGAGAGGGCAGCAGCAGCAGCAGAGCGGCCGCTGAAGGGCAGAGGGCCTGCTGCCTCCTCTAGCACCTCCCGCAGCAACTGATGAAACGTTTCTGCTGCTGCTGCTGCTGCTGCAGTGTCTGCTGCTGCTGCTGCTGCTGCTGCAGTGTCTGCTGCTGCTGCTGCTGCAAGGCAGCCAGAGTTCCCCAGTGCCAGAGCCAATGCAGCGCAGCGGATGCTTTCAGACAGCTGCGGGCCCCGCAGGTTTCCCTGCTGCTGCTGCTGCAGCAACAGCAGCAGCTGCTGCTGCAGCAACGACGGAGGCAGCAGCACGCCGCACAGGGGAGCAGCAGCAAATACTTCCCACTGCTCCTGCAGCGACAGGCTGCTTAGCTGCTCCAGCGCCTGCTGCGGAACTGCTGCTGCTGCTGCTGCTGCTGCTGCTGCTGCTGGGGCTGGACCTGCTGCTCCCAGCTGCAGCAGCAAAGGCAGCAGCGCGTCTGGCTCGGCGAAGCCTAAGTCCCAAGATGCATGCGCTGCTGCTGCTGCTGCTGCAGGGCCCTTCGGGGGGCCCGGCCAGACGGTGTCTGCCAAAATGCTTCTTGCTGCAGCTGCTGCTGCAGTTGCTGCTGCATCTGTGTTGGCATTTGCTGCTGCTGCTGCTGCTGCTGCTGCTGCTGCTGTGGTCAAGGTGCGAGACGGCCCCTCTTGGGCCCCTCTCATGCAGCGAGGCAGCTGTAGCAGCAGTTGCTGCTGCTGCTGCTGCAGCAGTTGCTGCTGTCGCTGCAGCCGCCAAACTGAAGCAGCAGCAGCAGCACGAGTTCTAGAAAGCAGCCTCCGTCCTCTGAGAGCCTCTACACATGGCGTTTCTGCTGCTGCTGCTGCTGCTGCCGCTGCTGTGCTGCAGCACAGGAACTGTGAGCAGCTGCTGCAGCGTTGCACAAACTGATGCATACGCAGCAGCATTGTGGCTGTTGTTGATGCTGCTGCTGCTGCTGCCACTCGTAAAGCTGCTGCCGTTGCTGCTGGCTGCGTCGGCTCTGCAGCAGCAGCTGCGGCTTTCCGCTCGGCGCTGCTGCTGCCAGTTGTGCTGCTGCTGCCAGTTGTGCTGCTGCTGCCTCTACCTCCGTTTTGCTGCTGCTGCTGTGCCTGCTGTCAGCAGCATTTGTGTGTTCTTAACGAATTTCAGCAGCAGCAGCAGCAGAGACACTGCAGCAACAGCGGGGGCCCACAAGACCTCAGCTGGAGGACCAGAGGCCCCCGTGCTGCTGCGAAATGCGGCGCTGCAGCAGCAGCAACGGCTGCAGCAGCAGCAAAGTGTTGCTGCAGAGTTAGAAGACAAGCAATTACTGCAGCAGCAGAACTGAAGTTCCGCAAAAAAAGCTGCTAACCCCCAGGCGCAGGGCTGCTGGGGATCGATCCCACGGCTGCTTCAGCTGCAGCAGCAGCTGCTGCTGCTGCTGCGCGGTAGAGTCGCTGCAGCTCTTTGCACTAGAATGCACACCTTTGTTTTTGTTTTTTTGAGTGTTTTTTCTCCGACTTGAGGTGTCTGTACACCCCAAAATGCGCGCAGCAGCAGCTCGGCGAATGGCTGTTTCTAAAGGGGCGCGCCTGCTGCAGCAGCAGCAGCGAGGGAAGCAGCTGCAGCGGACAGCTGGAGGGCCCAAAAGCCGAAGCGGGGTAGCTGCTTTTGCTGCAGCAGCAGCAGCAAAGGCAGCAGCAGCAGCACAGCCGCGCCACCACAAGCAGACATCGCTCGCAGGCAAGGCTATAGCGGTAAGTGCACCTGCTGCAGCAGCAGCAACAGCAGCTGCAGCAGCAACAGCAGCAACCCCCCTTGCGGTGTACGTACACTTCAGTGCCGCCACCTCCCCTGTTGCAACCCTAGGGCACTTCATGTGTGCACTGCCCCATTAGGAACAGCAGCAGCTGCTGCAGCAGCAGCTGCTGCAGCAGCAGTCGATGCAGCAGCAGCGGTTGCTGCAGCGGCTGCTGCAGCAGCGGTTGTTGCAGCAGCAAACGGTGCCAGGTCTGCTGCAGTTACACCTAAGCTGTGGTCAACTCCGTGTGTGCCGCGGCGCAGAAGAGGCGAAGGCTCCCAACGGCAGCAGCAGCAGCAGCAGCAGCAGCAGCAGCAAAACCCAGGGCCTCCTCTGCCGCAGCAAATAGGAGGGGCCCCCTGAAGGGAAAGAGGGCCCCTGTGAGGACCAAATCAAATGCTGCGGTGAGTCTCGAGGTGTACGTACACCGCAGCAAAGCACGCAGGCCTGACGCTGCTGCTGCTGCTGCAGCAGCTGCTGCTGCTGCTGCTGCAGCTGCTGCTGCAGCTGCTGCTGCAGCTGCTGCTGCAGCTGGTTCCTTTAACTCGCCACTTTCTGCTGCTGCGGCTGCTGCTGCTGCAGGTTTCCAGTCCAGTGACCCTCCACAGCTCCTTGCTGCTGCCTGCTGGGGCCACCGCAGCAGCAGCAGCAGCCGGAGCAGCAGCAGCAGCAGCAGCATCTAGTGAAGCTGCATGCGCACCTGCTGCTTCCCCCCGCAGCGAAGTGTCTTTGCCTTCAGCAGCAGAAAGCCCCAAGTCTCTGGGCGACACGGGGTGCCCCACAGGGCAGCCTGCGCACAGCAGCAGCAGCAGCAGCAGCAGCAACTGCAGCAGCAGCAGCAGCAGCAGGGGCTTCTTCAGCTGGCTCTCAAGAGCTTTCTGGGGGGCCTCCCACTCGTAAATGCTGCACACCGTTGAAAAACTTCCCAGTAGGTGCAGCAGCAAACGGTGCTGCTGCTGCTGCCGCTGCTGCTGCTGCTGCTGCTGCTCTGGACTGCCCTTTTGCCCCCGTGAACAAATGAGCAGCAGCTGCTGCAGCTACAAATGAGCAGCAGCTGCTGCAGCTGCCAGCAGCAGCCGCTGCTGCTGCTGCTGCAGAAGAGGGCGCTTCCTGTGCTGGCGTCGTCACGCTTGCTGCTGCAGCAGCAACTTGCTGCTGCAGCAAATTTGGAGCCTGCTTCTGCTGCAGCAGCAAAAGGGTCCTGGCTAGACACTGGGACCCCCCTAAGAACTAAACTTTGCTACGGCATTGTCGCTTCGTCCCGTTGTTTTGCTGCTGCTGCAGCAGCAGCAGCAGCAGCAGCTGCTGCTGCTGCTGCTTGGGCGTGGCAGCAAATGGGAAACAGAGGAAAGAAGCGGGATAAAGAAATAAATAGAAATATAAAAGCAGCAAAAGACAAGAAATGAAAAAGAAAAGAAACGGAAATGAAAAGAGAAACCTTTTCGATGCCTCTTCTAGCTATCCCTCGAAGTGTTAGCAGCTGCTGTTGCTGCTGCTGTTGCTGCTGCTGTTGCTGCTGCTGCTGTCGCTGCTGCTGCTTTTAAAGACGTCGTGCATTGCAGCTCTAGCAAGTGCCTCCATTAGCAGCAACTGGCTGCTGCTGCTGCTGCTGCTGCTGCTGCTGCTAGGTCCTCTGTTGTCGCTCGCGTGTCTTTCCTGCTGCTGCTGCTCCAGTTTCTGCTGCCGCTCCTGTTGCTGCTGCCGCTCTCGCTGCTGCTGCCGCTCTTGCTGCTGCTGCCACTCTTGCTGCTGCCTCTCTTGCTGCTGCTTGATGGCTTGCTGCACATCTGGGGGCAGAACAGACAAAATGTTCTGCTGCTCTTTTGCTGCTGAGCCCCTCAGCGGCAACAGCCAAGAAGGCACAGAGACCACGCGCCAGCCCAGGCCCTTGAGCAGCCTGCAGCAGCAGCAGCAGCAGCAGCAGCAGCAGCAGCAGCAACAGCAGCAGCAGCAGCAGCAGGCGGGCAGTTGTTGGAATGCATCAGCACACGGAAAGCTCCTCAGGCTGTCGCTACTGCAGCACCAAATGCAACAGCAGCGACTCCAGCAGCAGCAGCAGCAGCAGCAGAAGCAGCAGCAGCAGAAGCAGCAGCAGCAGAAGCAGCAGCAACAACTCACCTGTTTCTCAATCTTGTTGCAACAGAAAGAGTTGGGGGCCCCTTCAGACTTGGGTTCGGTACCCATCTGCTGGGGCCCTCAATCTGCAGCGCCACGCCCCGGGGGCCCCCCTTAGGGGCGCCCAAGGCTTGCTGCTGCTGCTGCTGCTGCTGCTGCTGCTGCTGCAGTGGAAGTGCAATGTCCGGGGCGAACCCTTCAGGCGTTATTGGCTGCAGCTGCGCGTCCAGGCCCATCTGCGGAGGCAGCAGCAGCAGCAGCAGCAGCAACAGCAGCAGCTGAAGCAGCGAAGCACAAGCAGCGGAGCAGCAGCAGCAGCAGCAGCAGCAGCAACAGCAAGCAATGCAACAGCGCAGCGTTAAGAGCCTAGTAATTACCGACCTGCTGCAGCAGAGCAGCAGCACGGCGCTGCCTGTCTGCAGCACAGAAGGACCTCCCTGCAGCAGCAGCAGCAGCACGCAGCTGCTGCAGCCATGTGAGAGGCCAGCCGCAGGAAGCAGCAAGGCGGCCCAAAAAAGCAGCAGCATCAGAATCACCGCCATCTGCTGCTGCT